AATTTCTATTTATATTACTTCTAAGCTGCATCACTTATGAACCCATCCCTGCCCTTGTGTGGCAGTGCACAATAGAAAGTTTTTTTACATCTCCATACATTAAAACATTGATTGTAATCATGATATATATGTGCTTCAGCCTACAGTTTAGACCTATTGTCTTATGTATGACCCTCTGTCCTGCGTGACAGTGAATACTAGCATTATCCTCACTTTAATAAGACTATCAAAATCCTCAGATTAGGCAAAATTGTAATTAATTTTGTCAATAAAGAATGGTAATAATAATAAGTAGTACGGTTTGGGCCCAATGTAGAGGGGGGCTACAGAACCCGGTCTTCCATCACAGTCCGACTCAGGGGCCTGGTCGCCCACCCCATGAGCCTGGGTAAGAGGGGTCGTGTCAGTATCCATATATATCATGTATTTTAAAAGGTCTGGGGCCCTGGAACCAAGGGATACCACCTACCAGGGCAGCCAGGGAAGCCGAGCGCGGGCCAGTACAGGAAGGGGTGCGTCATCCCCAGTGGTGCTCCCAATTTTTAACAGGAGTCCTATTGCTTCGTCCATTCTCCTACACTGGTGCACAGATCTCAGTCTCCCTTTTGCCCCAGCCTGGACACCTAGCTATCCACTTAGGGCAGCCCCTCACGGGCGACCCCGCCAGCGGGCGATCCGGTGACTCACAAGGTCCCCTACGTTTGTGTTCTTTCGCACGTAAAACTCCCAAAGAGGGACAGGAAAGGGTGCGGAGGTAACCCTCACCGGTTCCAGAGGTGTACGTGAGCCCCCTCACCATGACAAGGAAACACAATGGAAGGGGCACAGTGAGGCAAGAGGAAGTGAACTGATACTCGTGTCAAGGTTTACATTTTAAACGGTTGTGGAGCTGATAAAGGCAAGTTGGGACAAGTTGGCACCGCTGGGGACAAATGCATTGCATAAGCATAAGGCATATCAGAGAAGTGAAAAAGATGTTGGGCGTGGCATCTTACCTCAGGGAAAGATAAACGATCTCCATATTTCTGGGTGAGGATGGTTTGTTTAAACTTATAGTGTATACATGATCGAGACAAGGAAGGGTGGGCATCACTGCAGTAAGCATTGGGAAAAGAACAACCCGACTTTGAATGGCTGGGTTTGCTACATATAGGGCAAGACACCTCGACACCTCAATCTACCCCACAAGATTCCTTGCCCATATTTCCAACACTTATTGCAGACTCATTGAGGAATGTACTCCTTGTACAGAGCATCAGGCAACCAAAAAAATTACAGAATTTGGGAGGTCTCGACAATCAAAAGTGATCTTAACACGAAAGAGTTTACAATGTCGACCTTGAGGTTGCATGAACGTATCAACCAGATTATAATGTCATTGGGCTTCAGGGATGTATTTAATATGTTCCTGGGTCCTTTAAGGTCCCTGTCCCTTGTTGCAACATTGGGCAGAAAGATAACAGTACCAACACTGGCATTTAAATGTACACATTTGGAGACCCAAACTGGGATCTCATCAATGCTTTGACAGGACAGTTAGGTGGTCAAATTAAAAGGTAACAAATCTACCTGTTGGACAAGGTGTTTATGCATATGTAAACCAATAGTGGCAGTATGGCTATCAGTTATGACAAAATATTTTGTCCATGTAAATGGGCCAAACAGATCATGGAAATTGGGAGCAGTCAGGAGAATGGTGCAGGTTCGAGCACTTACGGTGCTGTGCTTCCCCAGTAAGGAGTGGAATAAAAGGTGCAGTTACAACAGAGGCGGTCACTCCAGGTAGCGATTCAGTAACTAATGGGGATCTGGGAGATGTTCATGCCAGGGAAGTGGCTGGGAAATTGAGAGGATAAGAAGGCTAAGTCAGTGATGAAGCTGGGTCTGGCCTCAATGCAGCTGGAACATCTAAGACCTGGTCGCCCATCCCACAAGTCTGAGAGGGAGAGGGGATGTCGAGAAGAAAGTAATAAAAATAAACAAGTTGGACTTTACTACCCAACCCCCACAGAGCCCAACAAGGAGGTACAAGCACATGGACAACCTCAGGGGTAACAACAAGAGAATATTCAGGCAACCACAGAAGGATCTGAATGCCAACCAAAGTATTGATAGGGATACAAACCCTGTAATACTCTTTTTTTTTACTTTATGCATAACCAGGCATGCTAGCCATACGAGCTAATTGATTCAGTCAGGCCTCAGTTTATTTTCCGTTTCACCCCCACCAAAGAAGTGTGTTACCCGCCAGAAGCCGCAGCCACTGTATAGGCTCAACGACCAGACGGAGGAACAATGGGGAACATATAGGTCTCCATTCACGGCCAATACACGTGTATGTGCGCACCTTCACAGCAGGCAGGAGAGGAGAGCAGAAGCCACCCCACACCTGCCTGTGGAAACCCTTTATCATAGCTAGGAACCACCCTTGAGGGAGAGAGAATAATGTGATAAATGTATCAACACAAAATAGAATACGAAACAATGGACATAAATTCAGTAAGTTTTGTCATGAAATACTTTGTTTGGAAATAGGGTGGTTAATCAATAAAACAGAATGTAGGGTAACTTAATAGATGTGAGATCACCCGAGTGTATACATGATCCTAAAGAGAGCAGAGCAATGCAAATGTTCAAGGGAAAAGGCACTTCATAGGGGCTCTGTATTGAGCCCACAATGGTGGGCTCAATACAAGAGGGGGTACAGTGGGCACAATACTAAAGGGGGTTACCTGGATTATACCTGGATGGGGTTCTGAGAGTTGTTCTACTCCCCAAGCCCAGCCCGAGACCAGGCTTGACTTGTAAGAATTAGGTCCAACAGGCTGTTGCTTGGTGCAGCCCGCAGGCTCACATATCTACCACAGCCCGGTTGGACAGGCACTTCTTGAAGAAAACTATCTTGTTAATCTTGAAGATGTCCACGTTTGTTCCGGCATCATTCCTTATGCTCGCTGAGATGATGTTGAATAACCGTGGACCTCTGATGTTTATAGTGTTCTGTTTGTGCCTATGGCACCCTTGCTCTTCACTTGTTATATTCTGCATTTGTGAAGGGGAAAGAGAGTACTGAGCAGTACTTGACATGGGACAGCACAAGTGATTTGAATAGTACAATCATTGTGATAGGATCCCAAGACTTGAGGGTTCTTGTAATCCATCCTCTATTTTTCTAGGAGAAACAATATTTGCTTGGTTATGCTCCCTAAACCTTAGGACGTCAGACATCATTATTCCCAGATCCATTACATGTTGCTTTCCTACTATGGGCACACAATTGTGGTTTGTACACTATTTTGCTTAAGGTCCTCATTTTTACCGTACCCAAGTACCTGGAATGTATCACTGTTAAACATGTCATTCTTCTGCCCAGTTGAACAGTAAAGTACAGTGGGCACAATACAAGGGGGCATGGTCTAACAGCTGTGTGGGAAGTGCTTCGAATTCGTAGTCGTTATTTTGTATATTTTCGGATTCGTGGGGAATTCGTACCTCGGTTTACCAGTGCCTCCCACCTAGTGACACTCACACCTGAATTCTTTGTAAAGAATTTAAGTTTTTTTATGGATTTTTGGATATTTGAACATAAAAGTAATTATTATATATTATGCCATGGGTCCCAAGAAAATCAGTGGTAAGGTTCAACCTAAGAAAATAATTGTGAGTAGAGACAGTAGATGATGTCCCTTCCTCATTAAGAAATATATGAAGTATGGGAAGAACTGCAAAGTTTCGTTGAAAAAACTCGCCCAGATAAAGCTGTAGCAGGCCATTGCATTGACCTTTTAAATGACAATGTGATGTCTCACTACAGATAAGTGTTAAAATGTAGGGAAAACCAAGTGTCTTCAGACAGATTCCTAGTAAAATAAGCAAGCAGTGAGCCACAACCAGGTCCTAGTGGTACTCCTGCATAACATAGGAGAGAGTACCCCAGAGAAGTCATCACTGCTTGATGTTATAATGGAAGGGGACTCCCCTTCCCCCTTCACCGTCTTCCATATGCCAACAAGTCATCAATAAAGGTAAGCAATAACTTGTACATACTTTAGTACTAAAGATTTGGGTGAATTAGATATCAAATTTATTTTGAAGTTAATATTTTGGGAAGTGTGGAACGGCTTAATTCAATTTACATTATTTCTTATGGGAAAATTCGCTTCGGTTTACGAATTTTCGGGTTATGAACCGTCTCTGGGAACAGATTAAATTCGTAAGTTGAGGCACCACTGTAGTTGATATCACCAAGGATGCCAATATGAGAACAAAAGCGCACATGGCGAGTGATATCAAAGGTACCCGATTCACCAAGGATTCTAGTGAGGGACAAATACCAGAATGGATAGTTGGGAAGCAAGACACATGCACATCCTGGAAGTCAGGACATGTCAACAAGAATATGAGCGATCATAAGCGAGACACTGCAGTTCAGACAATAAAGAGCAGGGTGGCGCTTCATTAAGTGCCTACAAGTTAAAGCGTATGGCCAATATGCAACTTTACCAAAGCCGTTTTCCACTGTCAGTTATGGTAGTAGGAGGGTGGCCAAGGGGACAGGCTACCCTCAAGATCACTTCTTTTTTTTTTTTTTTACCAACAGGTGTTATACATAAAATGCCTGTTAAGTGGGGGCCAAGGAAACTTTCCCAGTAATCTCGGGAATCATAAATGTGCCCACTCTCCACAAGAAGAGAAACTGTAGGGCGAGTTGTTAAAGTAGTCACAGGTAAAGATCAAACAAATTAATAAAATAATGGACTTCTATGCTTGATACATGTTCCAAGAAAGACTGCAAATATTTGATTAAAATCTGACAACCTTTCCAATGTTATCATAGGAAAAACCTGCATGGCTAATAATTTAATGAAATACTAGTAATTATCAAAAGAAGTCAATAAGCCGGGAAGACTATAGCACTGTGTGTTGTGGAATATTCAAATGATGCTAAATACAGTATGATCATTTAATCAAGTATACTTGAAGGAAAATAAACTTCATGCAAAAGGTCACCATTTACTTGCACAGTTGACAGTGACATAAATATCTTATTTACAGTTAAGAAATTAATTCTCCCTGACTGGTTGGCCATTGACAAGTCACATTTCTACAATATATATTTACAACTAAATGATGCACCAAGTTTAATGTCTTAACACAATCCCTGTACGTTCCTCCTGACCATGCAAGTTTATTGACGTGTGCCAAAAATGGACAATAAGGGAAATGAAATGAGGATCAAATGGGGGACGACAGCAAAACATCTAGTGCGTCAAATATGAAGCAGCACCAAACGGGAAGCTGTGATATCAATGCAAGAGATGAAATGAGATGTTACATTATGTACTTTGATCAAGAATAATAAATCTTTGATGGTTAAGATAATTAAGCTAACTTTTGTAATCAACCAGGTACTGCAAGGTATTATGATGGTCATCTGCTCAACTCAGGGCAAATGAAGTCTTTTTAATTATTAATCGGTGCTAATTATCTTCAGTTGACATTTACTTCCAATCACCCTTTTCGTAGTCCCAGTGTGATGAAATGCCCTGAACTGGATTTGCACGCAAGCCAATCATCCTCTTTAGTTGGGCTTCCTGGTTTTCAGGTTTCATAGAATCAGGAAGCGGAGAGTATACTGAAAGTAAAATCACAAAAATAATTTTTATTAGGTAAATTGAGTTGAAATTAAATCTAACAAAATAAAATACAAATTAGTAAGGATTATTTGATTACAAAAAATAAAATACAAATTAGTAAAGATTATTTGATTATGTGAATCAGAAGGCTGGGCAAATATTACTAACTAAATATTACAAATATAACATCCAGAGGTAATGCCCAAATCTCTAGTATGTACTCCTGAATTTAAACTCTTGAAAATCTGGTCAAATCAGAAGCTTTAGCTTCCTTTGCAAACGATGATACTAGACACAGGACATTTAATTAAAATTTTCAGCCAATCTTGAGTATTTTTTGGAGGGCTGGAACTCGTCAAGATTAGTGGACAAAATACATGCGAGTACTTGTACACTGAAAAAACCAGTGTTGAATGTAATGAAACACCATTTTCTGGGTTCCCTGAGGCTCCCTGAGGCTACCCGAACTGATAGTGATATAATGGTTTGGAGTCATGAGTCACAAGAGTCCTTTGCCTACCATGGACCACAAGCCAGAACCTGGCCCACTCAGAGGGGTGCAGGGAGCAAAGGCCTATGAGCACTACATTTAAATGTCATACTTGCCATCGATCGGGGAAGGCATCCAGATAAATAGGCAAAACAAAAATCAGTTTGGTAAAAACTATGACCTATGTCCAGAAAGAGCAAAACTGCCAAACAAAACAAACAACACTTCATACAACCAGTGCTCTCGCTTGTTAGTGCTACCCCCCCCCCTTATTGACCCTTCACACCAATAGGGATGGACAGTCTCGCTTCATGCAAGTCGGCGTTCAATCCCTGATCACCCTGACGCCTGACAGCTGGGTGGACAGCACTTCGGATTTGTAGTCCTGAGGTTTCGGGTTCAATCCCCGGTGGAGACGGAGACAAATGGGCAAAATGTTTCTTTCACCCTGATGCTCCTGTTACCTAGCAGTAACTTAGTAAAAGGGAGTTAGACAGCTGCTACAGGCTGCTTCCTGGGGGATGTGTAACAAAAAGGAGGCCTGGTCGAGGACCGGGCCGCAGGGACGCTAAACCCTGAAATCAAGAAGATCCAAGTGGTCGGGCACCATTCCTTCCTCACGTCCCATCCAAAATCCTTATCCTGTTCCCTTCCAAGTGCATATTATCGTAATGGATTGGCACTTTCTCCTGATTACCCCTTCCCTTCCTTTAACCAAGCTGTATATCAACTGAAAAAGTACAGATTCTTAAGAGGCAATTGGACAAATTTCTACACGACGTGCCGGATCATCCAGGGTGTAGCAGTTATGTGGGCCTGCAGACCACTGCAAACAACTTTATGGAATAACCACCAAACAAGCCCGACCCGAGAGAAAAACTTCAAAATCAACTCAAGGTAAATACTTTAATCAAAGCCTGTAAACCCAAGGAAAAGAAGGGGACGAGGATAAAATTACAGCCATGAATAATAAGATCAAGTGTGATAAGAGGTTAATAGAGCAGCTTATATGATTTAACACTTGCCTTGGTGACAGTATGCACAGCACAAATGTCAATATCCTCAATTAGGAATTTCAAAATTAATGAACTGAGAACATCCACTGCCAAAGTACTAAATAAACCAGAAGAGAAAATAACTGAAAACTTACCGTTACAAAATTCAGATGTGCATTTACCGTCTGTAGATTACACACAAGTAGCATCCATTAACATGAGCCATCTACACAAATCATTTAAATAAAACATTTTGGTGCAGGCGATGAGTCACTATAATGTGGCTGAAGTATGTTGACCAAGCCACACACTAGAAAATGATGGGACGACGACATTTCGGTCTGTCCTGGACCATTCTCAAGTCGAGAATGGTCCAGGATGGACCGAAACGTCGTCGTCCCTTCATTTTCTAGTGTGGATTGGTAAAAAAAAATTAAAACATTTTAGTCTTACCTACTTAAACGTGCATATGGGTAGTCAGGAGTATTTGAATTAAGTCACTACTTGATCCATTGGCAAAATGGAAGCAGAACAATTTAATTTAAATTTACTATCATTACAACACTGACTGATGCAATAATTTTGTGAAGATGGTAGCAGTTGCTCAGTTTCAGGACAAAGGGAGCAGCATAACTGTTTTAAGTGGCGATGCTGGTTCTCCATTATTCATGAAAACAAGCGAACAGGATATTGATATATCTACATGGCATAACTAATTATATATATATACACCATCTTTCATGTCACCTTTCTTCATTAAACATACTAAGTGTTCTATGGTAAATATAAGCAAGACCTTTCTTACCATATACTTTCATCCACATGTAAACCCAAATAGCTACTGAGCAAAGCATTAATGATATCCCCAGCACTGATTTCCACTCTCCTGTAGGTGCCTTCATTTCTGCAAAGGTTTGACAGAAAGAAGCACGGTACAATGCTTTCTTCTCTTCCAAGGTCAGTTTGTGCCAGTCACCTTTCTCCTTTTCACGCAAAGCCTGAAAGTACAGTATGCATTTCTTGAAACAAGAAATTGACAAGAATTAATACACAGTATTACATACACAGATAAAACAAATGTTCAGTGGTTAACCAAAATACAAACAAACCTCGGCACTTGAATGGCTATGAATTTGAATTCAGTATTCAAGCACCTTTTTCGAAGGAAAAAAAAATGCTCGTCAGTCGACTGTTTGCTCAGCACTGGTATGTATGTACACATGTGTAACAAATGAGTCAGTCTCCAGTAGCTGTCGTTCAGTGCACAACCTCAATAAACTTAACAGTAAACTTTGTGTTTTCAATTTTTATATTTTTAGCAGAAATAATTCATCATGGCACCTAAGAAAGTTAGTGATACAAGCCAAACAAAGAAAACTGGTTAGAATCCCAAGACACAATAAGAGAACTTGGCAATACAGTATATGAAAGTGCCCATGTGTCTACGTGTGCTACCAAGTTTGGTATGCCAAAATCTATGATCTCTATGATAGAAAACGACAGAAAAGAGAAAACTGCAGAAGTACAATTCTGTGGGATTCTGAAGTGTGGGATTCTGTCAAAAGCCATTTTTACATCCATGTAAGCAGTCAACCCAACCCTATCCTGTAGAATTTCTGTGGCTATCATAAAACTAGGTAGATTTGTTATACAGGCACTTTCTGTTCAAAAACTATACCGTTTTATTATTACTTCGTCTCTCCAGGTATTCTATCCATTTGGTTTTAACTCTTTTCTAGTGTTTTGACTTGCATGCTAGTTAATGATACTGGTCTATAATTTCGAACATTCATTTTTGTAGATTGGAACAGTTTGCCTTTTTCCATACATGTGCTAAGATTCCTGTACACAAGAAGTCTTGAATATCAATTGAATTGGAATGCCTAACTCAGTTGCACATTCCCTCTGAACTCAAAGTGAAACTCCATCTGGTTCAACTGCTTTATTTCTTCATAGCTTCACGAATAATTTGTCCACTTCCTCTCGAGGCACCTCTATGTACTCTATGGTGTCCTCAAAAATTGGCATTGTGTTTGGTTCTCTGAAGACCTCATTTTGCACAAACAGTTTAGAACTGTTCATCTAGTTTCACACACTTCTTTCACATTCTCTGAATCTGTTCACCCACTCTCAATCACCAGAATTTATCTTTTACATGCAACTTGATTTTAATGATTTATAGAAAAGGCCTTTATCCATTTTACATTTGCCTGCTACCCTTTTCTCAAATTTCTTTTCTGCCTCTCCTCACTCCTGTGTATTTGTTTCTTGCTTGTTTTTAATGCTGGTACAGTATGCTTGAGAGTTTGGCCTCTTCCTATATTGTAACCATTTTCTTGTCATTTCTTCTCTGGCACCCTATCAGTTACTGTTGAACCAGTCCTGTTTTCCGGTTCTGAATATTTTTTGGTATAAAAAATTTTGAGCATTCATTGTATATTTCACAGAATTTGGCATACCCCTGTACTTCCTTTACTTCCTTTAGCATACATACTCATTTACTTCCTCGTCTAGCAACCAAGTCTTTCCAATCAAATTCATTAAACAATTTGCAAAGTTTCCCATGATTTCATCTCTTGAAATCAAATTTATCAACTGTCTCAATTCCCCATTCTCTTTTAGATTATATCACATTGCATATTTAATTTCCAAGAGGACAAGGTTGCTCATTCCTAAGGGAGGAATGTACTGTCATATCTCCTTTCCCGGTGAATATTAAATCCAGCACTGACTGGATTTAATCTCCTTCCCTCATTTTCATGGCCTGCTTAATGTGTTGATACATTGAGGTTATCTTCTACATTAATGTCTCCAGGATGAGGCTCACAATTCTGCTTGTCCAAATGTTCTTCAGTCTTGCTTCGTAGGCTTCTCGGTCTTGTTTTCAAGTCGAAGTCACAAGTACCAATAACCATGATTTATAATCTGCTCTTACTATAATCTCTTTCATGACCATCATGAGGCCCTCTCATTTGTCATCTAGCTGCTCCTCTGCCCATGTGTTGCTGGTGGGGTATAAGCATTTATGATTATTAGCTTATTCCAAATCTGCAGTCATTATGTCAACTTCTCATAGGTTGTTAATTATTAACACTTTCGCCACTCGGTGGCGCACGAGCGCGTTACTAAGTTTTGTGCGGGTTCCGCAAGGGTGACACTGGCGGGTGTCACGAGAATAAATATTTGTATAAATTCCTATTTCGATCCGATCTACTTGGGGATAGTTTAGAAATGTTCGCCATGAAATTTACGTTTTCTCTAATAGCCGAAGAGCTTATTTGGGAGAACAGCATGGCAGTGAATCATCGTGGTAAAACAATTGTATTATTGACACGACGAGTATGATCGACGTAGTTTTTATATTTATTGCCGGTCGAACGCATCCTTATGTGACTTTTATACTTGTGTTCTTCTAGAACATTCTATTGCAAACACATTGGTACAAAAATGAAATACGTACATCGAAAAATAATGTCAACAGTGAATTGAACACACTTTTCAATGCGGTTTCGCCGATATGCCGCCGCGGGTAACACTTCGGCCACTTCCCACACTCTTGTGGGTCGGTTGCGACATTGATTCTATATTTATATGCATTCGTCCGTGTAGAGAATTTTATTGCGATTTCAGTGATACCAAAATTAACCCTGTAGGACAAGTGTGGAGTTGACAACCCTGAAGATAGTAGAAACATTTCGTTGCTGTCTGGCGCTCACGGCTAGTGAACGACGTAGTTTTTTATTTGGTGCTGATCTAACTTATGTTTTGGTGACATTTTATACTTATGTTCTTCTAGAACATTCTATTGCGAACACCGGTACAAAAATGAAATACGTACATCGAAAATTAACGTCAGGACAGTCAAAAGAGTATACACTTAAATGTTGCCGCTCGATCGCCGAAATGCTCATTTCAGTTGGGGAAAGTTTTTATTTTAAACGCTGTTTCGCGAAAGTGTTAACTCTTACCTTCAGGTTTTCTTACACTAATACAGCAACACCTTCACCTTTCCTAATTTTTGTTATCTCCAAACTAAGTAGCCCCAGCCCTTGGGCATATGCCCTCATTTAAAATACACTAGAAACTCGGTATTTAAATTTAATTGTTTCCTGAAGGTGGGACAAATGATGAAAAATTTGAACTGAACAATTTTTTCCCCATAAGGAATAATTGTAAATTGTATTAATCCATTCCAGACCACAAAAATAAATATATTAATGCAATACTTAACAACGGTGCTGCGCAGAGTTTATTGTGAAATTCCCTGTGCGCATGAAATAAAGTGTTCCCAAAAAATTATTTTTCTTCGTAAAATGATAAATTCCCTTCCTTGAACATGTCTATGTAAAACTAAATACCCAATTCCACTTACTTTGGCTGTGGGGACATGGACAAGGTGTGCTGTGACGTCATCAGAGGCTGGTCGCCTGTGCATGACACGCCCAGACATGGTCATGCAGACCATTCAGGCACCGGGTGTTGTCACAAATATATTTTCAACTATTTGTTCTATGTATTTCCAATGCAGTTTTATTTATTTTTTATCGTATATGATGCATATTTGTGTCCTTTACAATATATATATATAGTAAAACATTCATAATGTTTCATGAAACTGTGATACACGTGTCAGTAATGTGTCCACAATGTTTATCTAGAGATTATCTGGAGATGATTTCGGGGCTTTTTAGTGTCCCCGCGGCCCGGTCCTCGACCAGGCCTCCACCCCCAGAAAGCAGCCCGTGACAGCTGACTAACACCCAGGTACCTATTTTACTGCTAGGTAACAGGGGCATAGGGTGAAAGAAACTCTGCCCACTGTTTCTCGCCGGTGCCTGGGATCGAACCCAGGACCATAGGCATCGCATTATTGTCGCATTACTTGTATGCATTCACCAAAATTACAATATGTACAGTTTCACACACTATTTACACAGTGACATTGTAATACACACTCAGTACTTCGGAAGTGAGTAATAATCAACGAAGTAGTCCATGGTACACAGCGCGACTTCACTCTCGTTGCACCAGGTAGATAGATAGATTTTTGCTTCTTGTTTTGTCCTGTGTGCTTGCAAATAACGCACTCACGTGCACCCTTGGCATTAGTACCTGTAGGTGGTATGTAGCCAAGCTTGTAAAACGTAAAGTAGTCTTGAAAAGATTACAGGAAAAGATCAATTTGTAAGTAGTCGTGAAAAGATCGCTTTGTAAGGTCCCACACAGGAAGAGATTCAGCCAGCCTCAGAGTATCCGTCAGTCAAGAAGAGATTCAGCTATTCTTGAAAATATCTATGGAAAACACCACCATGGAAGCCGCTAACACTGTTCATCTATGCTACTGGTATCAGATGCATCATCACTGAATGCAGAAAACGATTCATCTATGTATCATCTAAATAAATTGGAGATAGCATAGCATAGGTGGGCAAGGGTGGCACTCGAGAGCTACAACTGGATACGCTTTCTGTATCGTCCTCATAGGTGCTGTATCACTTGCATCCGACCTTTGTGTTAGGTCCTTATTGCGCCTAGCTTCACCAATATTATGACCCTTATGTTCTTCAAACAAAGTTTGAATTTCAGTGACAGAGCGTTATCTTTCAACACCACGTCAGACAGGTGTTTGGGAGCCAGAGGCGTGAACGCCACCCATAGTTGATCACTTAGTACCAACCCAGCCAGCAGCCCAAGGGCATTCTGGGAATTTTTTCCAAGATGGCTGCCTCTCACTGGAGGACCTAGGAGTTCATTTCGTACAAAACCAATCGCGTACACATTTAGAATGGGTACGAAAAAAATAAAGTTTTCTCGGTTGGCGCAGTTTCCCACTGACCGAGAATACTCGGTTGGCGCAGTCAAGTGGCTAAGGCAAATAAATGATAAGTATGCACTTTACCTGCACTAGGAGAGTTGATGGCATATGTAGGTGGTGGTGAGGCAGAGGAAGAGTATAAAAAATCAAGAATACAAAAAATATTCATAATATCATAGTGAAAAGTGTTGTGGGTTGTGTACTGAATGACTGCTATAGCAAAACTGATGAGTCAGGGACATACATTTGTTTGAGTACCGAGCAAAGGGACAAATACCGAAGTGTCCGATGTGCAGAAAAGTATGAACTGGGAGTGGTCCGAATACAGAGGTTCCACTGTACAGTATTTTCAAATTTTGTCTTAATGTGACAACATCTGGCATCTTAATCTGAATAATAAATGTACAGTGTATCATGTTCATGAACAAATAAATAGAATTTAACTCGCTGTAAATACTGAAGATGACATTTCTGGATTTTGCAATGTGAAAGAGTATTTGGTTTAATTTTTTCACATGTTTACATGAGGTGGTGAGAAGCAAAAGAAGGGGGTTGAAAGCAGGGAGTGTGATGGTGGAGGAGGCTGTCTTTTCAAGGTTACACTGTACACTACACAGCTAAAGATTTGAATATCTATAAGGCAATTAATTACCATTGGTTGTGTATTTTATTTTATCATGTTATTAAAATTTATAGTAAAATAGCTCGGCAATAATTTGAGACTGCTCCTCCTAAGACAATACTATGCATTCAGAATAGTAAATATACAATTTCACTAACCTGGACATCTGGGGTGTTTTCCTTGTAGCGGATGGCTGGCATGGGGAAATCAACACGATCAACATATACAGGTGTACCATTGAAACCATATCCAACAACTTCACGATTACCAATTTTTGATAGTGTGGATGCAGATGAGTGTTGACGGATAACCTGCTGAAGGGTTAGGGCCATTGCCCGGCGGAATATTGGGTTCATTGCCATCTGTTGAATGATAAATTACTTACAATACTGCTTTACCGAAATGAGTAGCTCACTTAATATTATCATGCTACTTATGGAGCTCTTCCTGCAAACTTTAACCTGACAAAGAAGTACTGCAACCCCATCAAAAGAAATTGTATTCCTATAAAATATCTTGAACTTATTATATAAAAAAATTATACAAGAAAAAATTAATAAATAATAAAATCGGCACCAGCTCGGCAAGTTATTCACCCAATGGAAGTGCTGAGGAAAAAAGCCTCAAGATTGTTACTGGTCTTACATTTAAATGTATACAAAGTGCTAACATCAAATAAAACTTTGGACCACCCACTGCCTCCTACAGGTCCTTTCAGATTTTGTTGCTGGAATGAAGTCAAAGTTTGCAATGTGGATTCAAAGCACAGTACTGTAATTATCAAAAGAAGGCACCAAGCTGGAAAGACTATGTAGCACTGTACTTCATTGGATATTCATAAGGGGCTAAATATCACTCAAAATGTCAATACAAAAAACAAAAAAACCTTAGGCGAGTGATATCAAAGGTATCAGATTCACCAGTCTATTGAGACAAGCAACCCCATCATTTTTAAGTGTGCAGTTTGTTACCCATAATACCAGACCAATAACCCTGGTATTATAGGTAACCTACAGTCATAGATTGTGGAATGAATGACTAAAATGTATAAGCTGCACGTTCATTTAAGGTAACACCAAAATGGCTAGGAACCCAGACAAATTCAATTGTCTTAAATCTGCTAAAGAAACAGCCAGTATTGGACTTCAACCACCACGGAATGCAAAGGGTTAAATGACACCAGAACCATGAGGGCACTGCAAGAATCAACCACAATGACAGGAAACGGGGTGAGAATAGCTTGAGCTACCTAATACCTCTGTGTATTTTACCTCTAAGCTTATTTCAATTTCAATGACAAAGGAACATTGATGATGTAAAAAGTGTTCAAGGAAAAGGCATTTCATAACAGTAAGAGGGGTATAAATCTCACTATGTGGGTAAAGGCTTTGCAAAGCTTTGCAAGTGGGGACCCGCCTCGGGAACTATTAGAACAAGATGCAGATATATATTGCAAATGTGAGCTGAGGAGGAACTGTGCAAATGAATAATCTTTTACAGGAAATGGAAAGTGGTAAGAGGGAACAGGGCCCTCGTGATGGATAACAGGTAAAGTGTGGCATAAGCGAGTGAGAATATTGCAGGGACCTAGCAATGTAGCAAAGGCAGAAATGATCACAATGATCCTGTAGACAGGACCAGTTTCAGCACAAGCACTGGGTGGGGTATAAACGTGCACAGAGCTGACGCATAACCCAGTATGGTGCAGAGCATCACAACATTGAAAGGTTGAGCAAAGGGCAGAGGAATAGGCAGGGCAACTATACATTAACAAATTTGCAGACAACTTGTCAGGGCAATGGGACAAAACACCTTTGGGGAAGTGTTAGGATTAAGGTATGTGTACGATTAAGGTCTCTTAAGATTAGGTTTGTAACATTAAGATCTGATGCTCATTTACATTCATGGCACCAATACCTGGTGATGTCACTGTTTATTGTCGTTGAAATAAATGCCATGTGGAGCACACGTTGGCTTCTCTTCATGCCAAATTATAACAGTGGTGACGAGGATTATTAACACCTAAGGCAGAGAGCCTTAGGGTACAAGATGAGGTGGAGGATCAGGAGAGAGCAGAGTATGTCATGTGGACATGTGGAGGAATTTAAGACAACAGTCAAGTTGTGTAACCCATCGTGGCCATGGCTACCTCAGAACTCATCTCAATGGAGCCATTTGATGCTACCAAGATCTCGTTGGACCTGTGGCTGAGCCTGCTCGAAGCAAACTTCCAGTACCATTACCTTTAAAGAACACAATAAAGTAGCCATCACAACTGCAAGAAAAATGTCAGGTTAGATAACAAGAACTTTTCACACTAGAGATGCTGTACCAATGATGATACTTTTCAAAAAGCTTGTGCTCTCTAGAGTGAAAAACTGCTGCACAATGACAGCCCCTTTCAAAGCTGGAGAAATTGCTGACCTGGAGAGCGTGCAGAGATCCTTTACTGCTAGAATCCCCTCAGTAAAACATCTAAACTACTGGGACCAACTAAAGAGCCTAAATCTGTATTCCCTTGAGCGCAGGCGGGAGAGATATATAATAATCTATACGTGGAAAATAATTGAGGGGCTGGTCCCAAACCTGCACACAGAAATAACATCACATGAGACCAGAAGACATGGTAGGATGTGCAGAATACCCCCGTTGAAGAGCAGAGGTGCAACAGGTACTCAAGAGAGAACTATCAACATCAGAGGCCCGAGACTGTTCAACACGCTTCCATTACACATAAGGGGCATAACTGGCCGACCCCTCACAGTGTTCAAAAGAACTGGATAAGCACCTCCAAAGGATATCTGATCAACCAGACTGTGACTCATGTCAGGCTGCGAGCAGCCACGTCCAACAGCCTGGTTGACCGGTCCAGCTACAAGGTGGTCTGGTCAAGGACCGAGCCACAGGGATGTTGCTCCCCGAAATCATTGCAAGTGTGAAATCATGGGATGAGATTCAAAAAGGAGCTTACTCTTGAGGAATGAAGGAGGAAGACGAGGCGGAGTTAACAGCTGAAAAGAGCGAACCCAGTTCACTCGCAATCAACACCGGATCTGCCAAGAGAACCACACATGAACGCAAGACAATATGACTAACAAGTTTACCCACAATCTAGCAGATTTCCTTCCAGCTCCGAGGGAGAGGGGTGTCAACAATAATGGTGAAGATGTTTCCAACTCATGTTTAGCTGTAAGGATGGCCTTACTGCTAAACATGAAGGACAAAAGTTACAAGGAGTAGAAAATGGTCACTTATGAAGGTCATCGAGGACCTTCCACGTCAGATCTATATAAATGGACGAGCAGCAGAAAAATCAATATAACAACTTATGTTTCCCACCGTCCCCCAATACAAGAACAACTATTTCCTAACAATTAACGTTTCCCACTGTTGTACACACTTGTGTACAGTTGATTATGGGGACCTAGATAAGCCCAACTGGTTCCTCCCAGACAGTGGAAAACCAACAATGGTATCAGAACAAGTTGCTGCTTACACAAATAGCCAGCCGAACTTCTCAACATTTCCTGGACATGATAAGTTATATTAGGTTTATTAAGGGATAGATTAGCATGCTCATTTCAGGCGGGGGAAATTTGAGGAGCGACTTGACCAGAGACCTGGCAGGAACAATCTTACCATAAATGTATGAATATTGAACTGCTACCAATGACACTCAAAATTACTCATTCAAGCCATCAACCCTTAACCTTATGCCAGGAATCTTAAGACCAGAGTGGAATATCGCCCTACCCCGCCCCCGCCCGTCTGCCCCCCAAAAACACACACAAGCACCTGGGTATCAGCTGATCCAACACTGGATTGCATAGCCACACCGGCCTCCCCCGGCTACTCAACCTCATCTCCCCACCTGCCTCACTTCCCTACTCCCTTAAGTGCCCATTGTGACCTAGCAGACCTCGCCTTGGTCCTCATCACTCACTAAAACTTGTACATCACTTATATATCACTAAAAATCCGTGTAATGCTCGCACCCTGAATCCGGCGTCGCGATCAGCAGCCTCTAGACGTGCCAACCTGCCCCCACGACCCGCACCACCATCCACACTTACCATCTCACCTTATGCAATAAAATATTACGATAGTTACATAATCTATTAAATTCTGACTTAATAAATATATATATTATTAATTTTGAAACTAACATTTGCAATAATAATAATATTTACCTGAAAACTTGAAAAACATTTTGTAGCAAGACAAATGTAGGCGTTGCCAGTGACAACCAAGTAAATAAATATTCATGAATATTGATAGTAACAAACATTTATTATCAAAATAATATTTTTCTTATATAACAAGCATTTGTATTTACAGCAGTGTGCTGCTATACCTTATTCTATATGAAGCTTTCAGACCATATGTCACGAACTCACCAGTGTAATAATTTCCATCAATTTCCATATTGTAATTTCCATGTTGTAGTTATAATGTTGAACTCAAATTTTGTTACAATGTACCTGTTAATAATAAATGAACTAAACTAACTAATAAACTTACCTTAATGTTAGATTAAGGACCTGCCCGAAACGCTATACGTGTTAGTGTCTTTGCAAGAATGTAAGAACGCCAAAGTTATATACTCTCACAAACCTTCTTGTATATTTGTGCTTGGGGTTCTACTACCTAAAATCATTTACGTCCTCTAATTACTCAACACAAAGCTGTTATTAGAACAATATCTAACTCTGGCCCCAGACATCACTCGGTACCCCTACTCAAATCTCTGAATATGTTAGACATTAAGTCACTGCACATCCTCTCATGTGTATTATATATATATAAAACGCTGAACTATAATGTTAATCCTGACCTTAAAAGCTTCCTAGAAGGTTGTAACAGAACCCATGAGCACCACACCAGAAACAAATACCTATTTGATATTCCATGAGTACGACTTAAACTAGAAATGCTCTTCAAATCAAGGGACCCAGAATGTGGAATGGCCTTCCCAATCATGTTAAAGACTGTACCTCTCCCAAAAACTAAGTACTACCTAATTAACTCCCTGTAACCTACCTTACCACTAAATGTCAACCCATGTCTGCTATTTTAAACAATGCTGTTTGTTTGAAGCACAAAGTATATAGGAAACTATGAGGATGAAATTAGGTACTTTTGGGTTTTACTTTTGAATAGGTTGATTTTTTTTTTAATTCGTCAGCGAATGAGTTCCAAAGACTGAGTCCTTTTATTTGCATGGAGTGTTTGCACTGACTTAGTTTGATTATGGGATTGGGATTTCAAAGAGATATTTATTTCTGGTGTGGTGCTTATGGGTTCTATTACACCTATCAAGGATATGTTTCAGATCAATATTAGCGTTTAGGAACAAGCTAATACATGTACAATTGTACATGTGAATATCACATGAGAATGTGTGCAATGAGTGTATATTTAGCATGTTAAGGGACTTAAACAGAGGGGCTGTGTGTTGACTAAAGACATAAATTGATATAGTTCTGATAGCAGATTTTTGCTGAGTGATGATGGGCTCGAGGTAAATTGCAGTGGTTGAACCCCATGCACAGATACCGTATAGTAAGATAGGGATACATTAGCGCGTAGCATAATGAGAGGAGAACAGAGTGGGGAACATAATATCTGATTTTAGAAAGTATACCGGCCGTTTTTTAAACTTTTTTGGCTGTGTTGTATATGGGTGCTGAAGTTGTCTCTTGTCTAATTCTGAATTTGATTTGATGATTTACTACAAAATAAAATGTAGTGTCTTTTCTATGTTTAGTGTGAGTTTGTTAATTGACATCTATGAGTGAACTTTTTTTAATTCATTATTGACAATATTATTTAGTATGTGTGGGTTGGGGTCAGAATAGATGAATAGATCGTCAGCAAATAGTATAGGTTTTAGAATTTTATAAACATTTAGCAAATCTTTTTTATTAACAACGTTAGGTATACGCAGCAATGGGCTGCTACCCTATTCTATATGAAAGATGACACTGTAGATCAAAAGCTACCTATAAGTTCATCTAATATTTCCTGACTCGCTGCCGGCGCCATTGCTAGCTGGCCGCACAAGGATTTGTTCCCGGAAAATCTCACGATTCTGAGCACTCATCAGTTCAATTCATCGCGGTTTTGTGAGGAAGAATACATCAGTACTCCAAGACCCAGACAATATCTTGTTTTGAAGGAAACAATTCCGATTAAGGGGGCACCTTAGAAGGTGTACTGAGCCTGACAGGGAAAGGTAGACCAAACAGCTCATTTAGGTGTTAGGTATCCCCGATTCCACCTGGGGGAATCATTCTACGACCTCCGTTGGAGGGGAATGAATTTCTCCAGGCCTAGGAGTGTCTCAGGCATTAGGTAGGGCAGTGATTCGGTCCTCACTACGTGGAGAGAGTCATGGGGACGGCTAAGAGAAAGAGAAAATGGAGGCAGCTTTCAGACGAGGAGGGACGGTGGACCGATGTGCAGCAGACACCGAAGAAAACTGCTATCAAGGCTTCACCACTTGCTTCTACCAGCAAGACAGCAGACGTAATGGACCTAAAGAGGACACCATCAGCCAAATGTCCGAATTGTGGAGGCAAACATCATGCCTGGAGCACAACCTGCTCTGCACGGAAAGAAAAAGTGCAGACAGCTCAGGCCAGGATAAACACACAGACCAGCACCACATACACCAACACCAACGTCTGGAACACTCGTGCACAGCCACAACAGACACCCACTCTCACAGAGCAAAATTTCCCGAATCTATTAATTTCAAATCAGAAAATACACAAAAGTGCTGCAGAAATACAGCAAATGCAAAAGAGCAAAAAAACGATTACTTTCGGAATCAACACAACACATATACAGTTTTACCACCGAGGTCCAGCTGAAAAACATCGTGAAGATCATGGCAGAGACCATTATCAATTGCCTACAGATGACGCAGAACGCCTCACAGCAACAGACTCAAGACATCACTTGTGTGATAATGGACAAGATCGTGCAGCAGACCACAGTTACACAAGAAATAGACAGTCTGAGACAAGACGGAGCACAAGAGGACAAACAACGCAACATGGACATACAGACTACCAACAACAGTCGGGTAGTCAAGACACCAGAACATCAACATTTACAAAAGCAATTGCAAGAAGCAGTGACCACCCAAGATCAACAGAATCTTACAACACAAGAGACAGACAACAACAGCCAATGCAGTCTGATATGCAACAACACCAACGAAGACGTATTGAACAGCAGAGATGCACAGGTTCCAACAACACAAGAAACAGCCACGAGCAATCAATGCAGTCCGACATGCAGCAATACCAACAACAAAGCGATGGACCTCAGTTATGCACAGATTCCAACAATGCCGGGGATGACCACGAGCAATCAATGCAGTCCGATTTGCAGCGATACGACTTGCGAGGTGGAGAATATAGACGTCGATTCCGAAGAGGAGTTCTACTAGAACAGACAACACCAACCGAAACCGTCGTCTGGCCATTACGAATACTGCAGTGGAACATACAAGGTCTTGGGAATAAAAACCACACACTTCAGGAGGCTGCAATCAGCACGAAAGCAGATATAATCGTTTTGGAAGAAACTCTTTTTCCCAGCCACGAAATCCTTCAGATTAGCTGGATATCAGCACTATGTTATACCGTATGAACAGGGGGAGACAAAGAGGGTTAATGACTCTTGTCAGGAACACTATACCCAGCAAGAAAACAGACCCAGTTTCATGTGGGGATGGAGTAGAGGTATTAACAGTAACAGTGAATATGGCTAATATTGAGCTCCTCATATACAACGTCTACAAGCCCCCTAGACGTAAACTAGAAGCAGAGGCAGTACTTGCCTTGGCAACGCAGGAAAATGTAATTATTCCTGGGGATTTTAATGCTCGTCATCAAGAGTTAGGTGCGACTGGGCCAGCCAATGCAGATGGGCGCCATTTAGCTGCAGCTCTGTGAGAAGTACCTGAGATTGCACTTCTCAACACTGGGGAACCCACTCACATTCTTGGAGGTTCCCTTGATCTTACATTAATCTCAACAGCACTCAAGTATCAGGCGAAGTGGGAAGTAGACTCGGTGATCACCAGTGATCACTATGCTACTGTCACAACACTAAACATAGAACGACCTCCCACACCACCTGCACAACCTAGGTGGAATTTAAGAAAGGCCAATTGGAATATATACCAAGCGGAACTTGAAAAATGGTATGCAACATACACGCCACCTGAGGATTTGAACATACACGATACCAATCTGCAAGACGCCATTGCAGCTGCTGCAAACAAAGCTATTACAATCATTATCTCAGGAAACACAAAACGAAAGAACTATTGGTTCTATAGTAATGAAGTTAAAGAACAGAACCACAGAGTCAACATCTTCAGAAAACATCTAAAGAGAAACCCCACACCAGAAGGAAGAACTCTGCTATGAGCGGTGATATCTGAAGCAAGACGAGTTTCTAGAGAGGTAAAGGAGGCAAGATGGTTTGAGTGGTGTCAGACTTTAAATGAACTTAGTAGTCTTGACAAGATATGGGGTCAGATTAAAACTATATCAGGTCGACCAGCCCGACCACAGGCATGTATTCAACCATTGCAGGAGGCTGAGAGACTTGCTCTCCAATTTGCAGAAAGAACAGCTTCATATCAGCTTCCTGCAATGGTCCAAAGGCAGCAAGAACTATTAAAACAAGAAAGGTTGACAGTCATTCATGAGAGCATAGCTATAAATGACGAATGTGACTGTCCCTTCACCAAACAAGAACTAATCAGAGCCAAAAAAGGTGGTAAGGACACTGCACCAGGTGCTGATAACATTACGTACTCAATGATCGCACACGCAGGTCCTGCTGGAGAACAAGGAATATTGGACGTTATCAATGCATCTTGGTAGCAAGGCAAACTACCGACCTCTTGGAAGAAAGCAATCATACCGATTCCTAAGCCGAAAGAACCTGGCAATTACAGACCCATTTCATTAACATCATGCATTAGTAAAACAGCAGAACGGATGGTCTTAATTAGGCTACTGTGGAAGACTGGAGACCTGCATAAACACATATTTGGCTTCACTAGAGGAGTAGGTAC